AAAAAAAGGTACGATTAATAAATTATTTAGATTTTGATTCTAGATAGATGAGCATCTGTCACTATAACGCTTACCTATTTTCCAATGACTTGTATCGTTCTTTAACGATAGCTCTATGTCGTTTGCAAAATATTAGAAAAGCATTCATTGGCCTGCGCGCATGATGATCAGGTGTGCTCAGCACCGTCGCCCCAGGTTCATTCTGTTCTGTGTGCACAGTCTCAATATCGACATTGTGTTCAGTCTCCTCCGTTTCCATTCTAGTGACTCGAATAAAACTCATATTTGGCTTCGCATCTTCATTAGACTTCCTTTTCTTCTCGACAAAGTGCCTGCTATTCCTCAAATAACGCTCATAATTTGTAGCGGCATCATCATTGTTATCATCCGTATCCTCGTCGAAATCTTCCTCTTCGTCTTCATTTTCCTCCTCATGTATAGTACTATTACTACTCTCATTCAAATAACTATAATGGTCCAACTTAGCGTAATTGTGCACATCCTCGATGCGGAGAAAGGCATTTTCTTGGTAATCAGTTCTTAGAACGGACGACATGCGCCTATCACTTGACTCCCCATGAGCATCAACCCTTTGAATTGATTGAATAACTCCATCGCCACCTAGCTCCGTCTTACCTTTAATATTCGCGAAAGTGTTTGAAACGGTGATATTATTATTCTTATTTCCGCTGCTCAAACTAAAGGCACTTTCTTTTCTAATTAAGTTATTGTTGTGATTTATTTTACTTAAACACATATTTGGTGTGGTCGCAACTGCTTCATTACTCAATTTGTGGGAACTCCATCGGTTGTTCTGCAAATTCGGGTGCGTTTTTAGATGCTGAACATGGACACGTTGTGGTTTGGTCTTGCCACATTGAATATCTACCCTATTATTTTTATTGGCTTTGTAGTTATAAGATTCAAGGGAACTTTGTATTTCGTATGACGAAGTAAATCTTTCTCCAGCAGTTTGGGGTATTTTCGTAGTGTGTATTAACTTGCATTTGTCCAACGGCACCACTCCCGATTGCAGTAAGACAGTACCATGGTTGATTACTTTGATGTCCACCGAATTCGCGCTGTTAATCATGTTGTTCTAGTGTAATATATTCCTGTATTAAAACTTAAAATCATATCGACCTGTAATGAAAAGTAAAGAAAGAGTTTAAATCGATTTGCTTACGGAAACAACATGCTTAAAATATGTTTGTGCGTAAAATTACCAGCTATTTGGTTAAAATGGTTTTAGGAAATATATAATTCGCTCTTAGAATACATATAGCACCATTCAACTGTTATTTCCCATAAAAAAATGTCAAGGCTTTAGACCAGAGGTTCCCAAACTTATTTTTCTCGTAGACCCCTTTCAAAACTTTACTGGTTTCGGTGGACCCCCTGATGCTCATTTCTAACATATTTCCAAAGCTCATAGAAAAATGTGAAGATTGAAACTAACGATGTAATTTTGCATCACGTGTGAGTTCCGAAACTAAATTCGGAGTAACAAAAATATAAATAAAATATTTTCTTGTGTTCTATTTATTAAAATAATGTGATTACACAATTGCAAGTTTAAAAAAACAGAGCTCGTAAAGCCATCAAAGTACTCTCTCGCTCTGAGGGATTATATTTTTAAGGGCACTCCTAGCGATAGCGTTATTTACATTCCCTTCACCATAAACTCCTCACATGTTCGGCTCACTCAGAAATTTGCATGTAATGTATTTGTCAAATAGTTTATGTATTTGTATTAATGGCATCATTTTTATTTCCATCGTTCTGAGTTTTAAACTGATGCGAAAAATATTCGTCACTCGCATTTTTAAACACACAAAATTTGAAACAACAAAACTGAAAAGTTTTTACGCCAAACCTCAAACTCATAAGCTGACAAAAAAGAAAAGACCAAATCAAGATTTATCGAGGATAAACAAACAAGCAAGCAAGAAGCTCAAGAAGTGTTCCACCGTCTCATCCTCTTCAAATCAGGATGCAGTTGTCATTTACGCCAATCACAGTCTGGTGTTTGTGCCACGTGACGTGACCAGTCAGCAGTCCCGTCTTCTCAGTGAGAGGAAAAAAACTAGATAGATCTTATGAGATTGAAGGCAACATGAGTTTTGCCCACCCGCATCCAATCGATGGCTCACAGTCATTGCTGGGCGAAGTATCCACCCAGTTTTGATGGTGGCTTCGATAGTCGAAGTGGGGAGTGATATAACTGGTTGCGGATCGAGGAATACCTGGTCTAAGCCAACTGTGGGCAAAGGGTCAGTTGTCTCATTTCCAGGCGAGTTGCCTGGCACTCAGAGTAAAGCAAGCTCTTTATGTTTGCCAACATAATTTAGTCGAGACTTGCATTGCCGAACTAATTTGGAAGTACTTAGATAGAGGGCTGGCCAATGCCTTAAGTGCTGCTTGGCTGTACCTGCAGACACGTGAACTCCTATTTTCCACCACGTAGTCTATGGATTTGGGGATTGCAAATACTTCAGCCTAGAAGACCGAAGCATATTCCCCCAAGAGAAAAAGTGAGGCTTTTCCCCATTAACTTCGAAATATACTCCAGATCCTGACCCTCAGTCAGTTTTTGAGCCATCACTGAAGATTCGGCAATGTACGAGTGCGGGCTCAGTGCTGGAATTAAACCAGCATTCCCCTTAAGGGAAATGCATGCAACACATGTAATGGTGCCGTACTATCCTGTAGCATTGAAAATACACAAGTGCTCAAATATCTGCCACCGGCAATTTCCGCATCGCCTGACTTAGTAATATACAAACAGCCGTTTCTCTTTAGCCTGCAGGTGGCGTGTAAGACCCACGTATGATGACACAAAGTGACGGTAAGTTCACCAGTGGTCAAGAGCTCTATAGACCACTCAAAAAAATTTTAGTTAAATAAATAGGCTATCAAGCAACCATTTTGGTTCTTTCCTACCCCCACTTACAACTCGTGGACTTCCATATTTTTTTCACGCCAACGTCGTCGACCCCTGTCGATTCTCCCATGGACCCCTGGGGTCCACCTGGATCAGTTTGGGAATCACTGCTTTAGACACTAGGACGCTTAGCAGGTCTTATGAATCCCCTAAATAATATATTACAATTAGGAAAAAAGAAGCACCAGCTGCCAGGGCTTACGGTTCACTGCTATAATAAAAACCTATTTTCTGCTAAAGTGTGTCAATTATTCTCAATGCAATGTGGCCAGCACCGAAGTCCGTGATAGTATTTGTATTAGAGAATGTTTCCAAGGCAATTTTTACAGCTCAATTATGTCGCTTACTTGCAACAGCCATGGCTTCATTATGGACTAAGTCGTTCAAAATTTTGCAAGCTAAGCCACAAAGCTACGAAAATTCATGTGCCAAGGACCCCAAAAAGTCGCGGTTTTTCCGCCCGGATCACACAATTTATTATATTTTAAGACGTCCACCAGGTCGGCAAAAATCCTCCGGCTGAACCCTCCACGAGGGTGCTGACTGGTAATGGGCACTACAGAGGATTCTGTGCGATGTCAGAATGGTGCTCAGCTAAGATCAGGAATCAGTGCTATGTGCTAAACTCCTTAATAGTGTAGTCATATGGAAATGGTTTCTGATCGTGGCTTGGAGGTCTGAAGGGGCTGGATCAAGGCGTCACGCGCACCGTACCGAGGATCGGCCAGGCTGGGGGCCCCTAAATAGCCCAGTCGCGAACGGAGCCCTCTGGGAGGCGGCCACACCCAGGATGTAAGTAGGCCTTACCTGGGCATCGCGGATCTCTGCCCGGGTGGACGAACCCCTTTCTCCGCAGCCCGTGGGATCAATTATGGACAAGAAACAATTAACAACAACAACAACAAAAAACAGCAACAACAACATCAAAAACAATGTATAAAGGGACCGGCCCCCTTAAAGCGTCGGAAGGGTCTCGGCCCACTAAACAAGGAGCTCAAGCGATGCAGAGTACCTCCACCAGCCGTAGTGCGGTGACAAATAGCGGGAAACCAAGGCCAATGGTGAAACCGGGCCAAGCTCTCGCAAAAACGAAGGAAAGTGGCGGTGGGGCTGCTCAAAGGAGTCCACCCCGGGAAACTCCTGGCACCAGTGGACGCCAACCTGGCATGCAGATTGCAGCCGGGGATAAGGCTGAATCTGGGGCGCAGGCCCCGGGCGGTCCTCCCGCGACACCCACGGCCTTCACGAGGCCTGACCAGAGGCCAGAACCAGCTGCAGCGGGCTATCGGCAGAGGAAGCTGGCTGCTCGAATCCTGCAAAGGTTCACCGCAACGCCTGACCTGTGTAGCAAGGCGAAAGAAGAGCATGTGAAGGAGATCCTCACAGAAATCGACTGGGCAAAGGTAGTCCTGCCCGACTACCGCAAGCCGGAGGAGAAGCAGCCGCAGGCGCCCTCCAGTAAGCGCAATAGATCGGGGGAAAATACGCCCAACCAATACGCAAAGAGGGTCAGAACGCAGGGGCCTTCTTTTGCTGAAGTAGCCAAGGAGCAGATCCTGCTCGGCGTCATCGATGAGAGCAATGAAGACAGCCTCACCCTGAGGCAGCAATGGAAGTGGGTTAAGGCCGCGATGGCCGACATTGCTATCAACATTATGTTGGAGAATCCGGGACCTCCGCCAACCTGCAAGGGAGCGGGGTGGTTCCAAAATAACATCCGCGTTATAGCATGCGAGGATGCTAGATCAGCGGAGATCTACAAGAAAACAGTCGCAGGTATTGGAGAAGTCTACCCTGGTGCGAAGCTCAGGGCGGTCGACTTCAAGGACCTACCGGTGCGACCGAGAGCGAGAGCATGGTTGCCTTGCAGGCCAGCGGAGCCAGAAAGGATCCTCCAAACCATAAGGCTCTATAACCCGGAGCTACCCACCGATAATTGGAAGGTGGTCAAAATCAACGAAAGCGGTAAAGCGACGATGCAGGTCGTCCTGCTTCTAAATAAGGACTCCATAGAGTTGTTGGAGCAAAAGAGCGGGGTCATACGTTACGGCTGTGACATGGCCAAAATTAAGGTCTACAGCAACGACGTAAACGCAGCGAAGAACCTGATCGCGGAGGCAGAGCCGGAAGAGGCCAACAGCGACGTGGAGATGGAGGAAGAATCCGAGCAGGTTGATCCGACCGGGGGTTATGCCTCATCGACGTCTTCGCTGGGGGTCGGACTCATGCTTCGGCTTTATACGGAGGAGGAGTTGATCGAGATGTCGGAAGACGCGGTCAACTCCACCCTAATAGGCGACGTGGGCGATAACGGCCAAGATGGTGAAGGTACTGCAGATTAACCTTCACCACTGTAAAGCAGCTTCAGCTGCACTGCTGCTCCATCTAACAGCTAAAGGGGCAGCCGACATCGTCCTAATCCAAGAACCTTGGGTGGTGGGACAAAACATTTGTGGGCTGAAAGCGCCGGGCTACAGACTGGTAAGTGGAGCCTCAACGGGGAAACCAAGGACGTGCATATTGATAAGTATCACACTAAAGTGTCTCTTTCTTCCACAATTTAGCGACGAGGGCACAACAGCGGTCAGTCTAAGTGCAAACGGACGACCAATTAAGATGGCATCCATGTACCTAGCGCATGACAAGGAGGCGCCAACTACCTGCATTAAAGACCTAGTGGCCAGCACGAGAGAGGCGCTAATTTTGGGAGGTGACGCGAATGCCCACCATCACACCTGGGGCAGCTCCGATGATAACGAGCGGGGTGAGTCACTTTTTAATTTCATACTTAGTTCTAAGCTTGTTATTGCGAATAGGGGGAATGATCCCACTTTTATTACAAAATCCCGAAGGGAAGTTCTGGACGTTACCCTTATCTCTGAGAATGCGGAATGTCTGGTCGGGAAGTGGAAGGTGCTTGAGGAGCACTCCTTTTCCGACCACCGATATATCCAATTCGAGGTATTAGGGGAAACGCCCAAGGCTCCTCTAACTAGAAACTTGCGAAATGCCAACTGGCATAGGTATCGGAAAGAGCTGGATAGGCTTTTGCCACAAGATAGAGAGCCGGCTACTCCAGCAAACCTAGAGGAGCTGGAATATCTTGTCGACCATTTTACGGGGGCCTGCAGTAAGGCAATAGACATTGCATGCCCCAAAAAGCAGCACCGGGGTAGGAAAAAGCCACCCTGGTGGAATGAAGAAATCAGGATTTCACGCAAGAACTGCAGGAAAACCTTCAATCAGGCTACTGCGTCTGGTAGTGAGGGACATTGGGAGACCTACAAGACAACGTTACGGGAGTACAAGAAGCTCCTAATAAGGTCGAAAAGAACCTCATGGAAAGACTTCTGCAATGGGGTGGAGTCTATCTCAGAGGCAGGCAGGCTCAGAAAGATACTCTCAGGTACTGCCCAGAAAGCCCCAGGATGCTTGCAAAGACCTGACGGCTCCTGGACAGAGACCGAGGAGGAATCACTGGATCTGCTTCTTTGCACATACTTCCCGGGTGCCACGGATAGCATGCCGGTACAGCCACATCTAACTGGAGATCTTTCGGTCACTGGAGATTTCCTCACTAGGGAAAAGGTCATCTGGTCTATTGGGACATTTAAGCCCTATAAATCAGCAGGTCCGGATGGCATTGCGCCCATACAGCTGCAGCAAACACTTCAGCTAAGCTCAGCGTGGCTACACGCTATAATTAAGGCAGTATTAGCTCTTAACCATATCCCTAGAAAGTGGAGGGAATCAAGAGTGGTGTTCATCCCCAAGGCAGGGAAGGTGTCTCACAGTAACCCAAAGGATTTCAGGCCCATAACCTTGTCGTCATTTTAACTGAAGGTTATGGAGAGACTGGTGGAGGTCCGTATCAGAGAGTCGGTTGGTGACAGACTCTCTACCACACAACATGCTTATACGAAAGGTAGATCTACAGAAACGGCGCTACATGAAATAGTGTCGTATATAGAGAGATCACTAGACATC